CAGTTTGTCACTCAGCGAGCGCACCATCTCACTCAAGGAGTTTACTACATCATTCAACAATTTCGACTCATTGCCGTGCTCTTCCACCAACTCCTCTCTTTTTCGAGCACCAAGAGTTTGTTTTTCGCAATCACGGCAAAACCAATGAAGCAATTTAGATTTCTGGAGAAATGAGTACTCCTTAGAGCTCAACTTTGAACAGCTGATACAAATGAGATCTTCACATCGTCCACAGGTAACTGTCTGGACTGCGCTCAGAGAGATCTCTTTGCAGTACTTGCAAACTTCCATCTCTAGCTGGGCTGATTTGGTTTTATTTTTTATTCTAGAGGCCGTAGATGGCTTTTCTCTAGAGGCGGTTGAGGGCTTTTCGACTATCTTTTTTATTTTCTGTCCAGCCATTGTTAAATGCACGAACTAGATCTCTTTTTAACTCACATAGTGATGTCGGCGCTGCAGTGTAGGCCTGATGTGGCCTGTCGCCGATTCTTTTCCTTTTCGTGCCTTGTTCACAGAAGATCTAATATCGTGTCATTTGACCGGATCTTTTCATGACTGACGATAGTTTCAAGTAGCTATTCGACTTCCACCGGGTTCAATATGGTGCTATGCATTTCAAATTTGAACATATATTTTTCCATAGCTTTAGTATCTAGACTGTTCTTGAACGCGTTATAAGCCCCGACAGCGTCCTTAGCATACGTTTCGGACGTAGCAGTCCCAGGTCATGGTAGATCGCCCCTCCATCACGCATCTTCCCTCGTTTGGACCAGCTGATGCACGATGCTGTTGCTTGCTTCTCCTCGCTGGTAGTGGTGCAGGGGCGGACGATCATTGGCCATACTTTCAAAACTCGCTAAGTTAACGTTAGTCCTTACGCTCTATTTTCTTGTCTATGATTGGTGGATTTTGCTTGAAAGGCCGTCAATGATTGGCTGATGAACTTACGATCTCTTGACTTTTTTTTAAAGTATAAGCCCAGATCCAGCTACATTCAACGACACATAAGCCACCACTCGTACAGCAGCTACTGCACTTAACTCGTCGATTTTACCCGTGTAATAGTGGTTAAAATTACGATTTATTGGGTTCGATCGCCAACCAATACAAATAAAAAGCCAGTTACACAGTGCTCTAAATTTGTAAGTTTAGTTTAAGAAGTTTCATTTGACGGCCGGACAAGATACCTTCAAAAAGAGTTTAGAGACCGTAAGTTCTTCCTCCAATCATTGACGGCCTTTCAAGCAAAATGCACCAATCGTAGACAAGAAAATAGAGCGTAAGTACTTACGTTCACTTAGCGAGTTTTGAAACTATGGCCCCGGTAACATAAGTGTTGTGGCGAAGTTAGAGGCATTGACCGTACTTGCTGGTGGTTGTTACGAAGATATACAACTATCAAGATCCCTTTTAATTATTTTGGTGTACACTTGACGCTGGCACACTATAGCAGCAGGCTGTATGGTCTTCTGTACATCTAATCAGTTACATTTTATGTATATTGGTAATGTACAACATCTTTGATAAAGCGTTTCATTAAAAGCGAAACAAGTTAAATTTAACCACTCAACATTGTAGGCGGCGTTTTATTTTCTTCGATCTTCGATGAACTCCTACTACTATCTGTACTATCTATCGTCACTATCTATCCAAGAACTATCTAAACTATCGTCAGTCATGAAAATATCCGGTTAAATGAACTATATTAGATCTTCTGTGAACAAGGCACGAAAAGGAAAAGAATCGGCGACAGGCCACATCAGGCCTACACTTCAGCGCCGAGATCAATATGTTATGTTACTTCCGCACAAGTACTAAACGTATTTATGCTAAAATTGTCTATATGTCATGCATTCGTAAATCAGCACAAATATTTGTAGGAAACGCTCTTCAAAATTTAAAACACGACCGCTAATTGATTTTGTTCAAGTTTTCGGTCAAAGCCACTCAATTAAATCGTCGCATCAATTTGGAGACTTTATGGAGTTTGTCTAGGAAATTATTACCGTTTAAACATTTTTTAGCCGCCCATGTCAGCAGTCAGCGGCATTACTGGACATAGGCTTATAAAATGGACACAGGCGGCTTGCTGAAAGAAGATATTTTATATAAGAAGAGTTTTAGGAAAATTGATATCATAAGAACCTAGTCTATGGTGGCTGCCATGGTCAAATTTGTCGATAATTGGAAAATAAGTTGATGGATCATTTAAAGTTTATTAAAATTCTCTATATAAAATATATACAATTCCTCTCCTGTGGAAGCCATGACGGGAGAAAAATATAGGATGCACTGAAAGTGGTGAATATTAATTATTAATTAATGGTCGAAGCTCGTGGAAATTAAAGAAATGCTCTAGCCATATTGAAGAATTAACCACCAAAATGCTACAGCCATACTGGGCAAACTGCTCTGAGTTTAAGCAGCAGATAAATGTGCTCTCAAAATTAGGAGAATTATTTTCTATCACAATTCCACCCAGAAACGCAGATTTGAATACAATAAAATTTTTTGACTAGGAAATTTGGTCACAAAAATTCATTTCTCAAGTTTTTCATAATCAACTGCAAAGTCATAGGAGTTTTTTCTAAGGTGACAGCTTCCATTTAACCAAAATATTTAATCTGATCAAGTTCAAAAGATGCACATTTTTATTTGACTGTATTCTTGATAGCGTGATTCAAGACAGCGAGATCACTAAACAAACATATATTCACNAAATGTTTAGGACCTTGACTATATTCACAGCACTAAATGTTTAGCACCTTAGCTATACACACCAAATTTACTAGAAGCAAACGTCCTCTTGAGGTAGAAAACAAAGTTTATGCACAACTTAGGCTAGCTATGATGTAAGATGGTGAAAAAATAGATAATATTCTCCGTGTTTTGCTGTAGCGAACGTGCTATTTCCATCATCTAACAACTTCCTGAAGTCTTTGAGCATCACTGTAAAGGTTGCCCGGTCATCATCCTCGCTTTCTCCGATCATCTTAATAACTTGGTTATAAAACAGCTCCTCTTCCAAACCTTTCACTAATTTCTCGTCATCTCGATCAAAATTACCCAATTTTCGACCTAAATCCTTTTCCATTTCCTCGTGATTTGCCAAATAAAAATCCATGTTACAGGAGATCGTCATAGTCAGAAGTTCCAAGGCCTTCTGAAATGAAATTTTTTCCACAGTCTCCACTCCCTCGTCCAGATGAAACGGTTCTTCATATTGCCACTGCTGAGAGTACAGGGAGTCCAGCTTCTCCCTGGACTCAAAATATCTCGAGGGGATAATTCCCAGGTTAAACTCATAGTCCCCGAAACTGGATGACTTCAACTTCTGGGTTGGATAACTTTCCTCTGGCCAATCATCCAGCCCTTGGAGATGTCTTATAAAATCTTGGTTTAGTCCATCCTTGTGTAAATAAACCTGGTTCGAGTAGTCAACCGCAAGAACAAGAGGTTCTAGCATCAGAGAGTAAGTGCCATTCTCAAGCTTGCGCTGGATATCACATGCCTGCTTCTGGGTTGCCATTTTCCGCAGTGGGCTCCTGTAGAATAAAAAAAAATTGTCAAGACTTGGTCAAAGTAAACCGGACTAGGCAGTGAGATGCAGTGATTGCAATTAAAAAATTGTGATTTAAAAATATATAAAATGAGTAAATAAAATAAAAAATATATCGCTGTAAAGCGATAGCAGTGCTGTAAATAAAAAATATATTGCTGCTGGATGCCCGAGGTACACATCTGTTAATAGAAATTATTTTTACAGTTTCTTAAAAACAGGAACTCCTGCCCATCAATACATGAAATCTCAAGCCATTATTATTTAGATATAAATTAAACTTAAATGAGTGATGACATAAGATCAACTCAAGGAAAAAAACTTTGGCCTACTTTCTTACCAACAATCACCTCAATAGGATAACAGATAGATAAAAAAATAAATGGAATTTCGCCGGCTAGTGAAGTTATTTGCAAATTTCAACCATACTTTAAATGGCTGGTTCTATACATTCAAATTAAGTCAATCTTGATTAAAACTTTCTTAAACTTTGAGCATATTGTGCTAGCAAAACCTACCAATAATGAAATATGCAAAGGTTTAAATAATATTAAAATAACAAATTTCTCACCTAGTCACCCCAAGCAGCGTTCTAAACAAGGCTGCCATACTGCGCTGCCCTGCGGCCTGGGGTGAAGACGCAGCCACGCACTGAAAATAATATCATAATTATAAATAATTGCTTAATAGGTTTGAAATAAGAATAACTTTAGGTTTTGTGTTGAGAATGTCTACATGTCAACTTGAATACTTGCGTTCAAACGCCCATATGCAGGCTATTTTTTAATTAAAGAATATCAATTTATGGAATTGAAATTATCTTCCAGATCAGCATCATAAATTTATTAATTAGCTGGTGTAATTAATTGAAATTGCAATTTAATTGATTGGTGTGAATAACATTCATCACAGCTTTCACAGGAATGCAGTGAATTAAAATATATTTGTATGAAATATTTCCCCAAGATTAGCAGGTTCTCCCATCAGACAGCATTGGCCATTTGTAAAACTTTTGGATCTGGTGGGATGATCTAACTCTGCACAGCTCACCCACATCACTGTCAAATATGCAGATTCCATAATTTTCATCAAATATTTCTTGCTCTTTGAATTTTTAGGCTAAGATTGTGGGAGTTAATTTGGGTATCTTTTGGCCCCCGTGCAGTATTGAGCTCATAGGGAGTTAATTTGGGTATCTTTTGGCCCCAGTTAATTTGGGTGTCTTTTGGCCCCCGTGCAGTATTGAGCTCATAGGGAGTTAATTTGGGTGTCTTTTGGCCCCCGTGCAGTATTGAGCTCATAGCCATAGAATTCTTGTATGACCCAAGTATCAGCAGGATAGCTTCAACAACTACCAGCCACGAGAGAAAATGCAAATCACAAATTTTTATATTGATCCAATACTCCTACCAATGGGTCTAAAAAATCAAACATAAAAGATTATTATTCTAAACAAAAATCTAGGCAACCCTCCAGGAATAAATAGGACCTAGAGCAGCCTCTCTACAGGTGGGTGTCATTCATTTCATTTTCATATAGTATAATGAAATGATCAATGATTATTTATATATCAAGTAGGTGAATAATGAAATGAATAACATCATATTCCAAGAGGAATAAGGTTCATTGTGAGAGTCCTTTCTCATAAGGAGGTTCTTTTATCAACAGAAAGATCAGTCAGATATTAGATGTGTCTGTAACATATCCCTTATTCAATTTAATGGTAAAAGAGATCAAATTCACATAAATTTTTTGATGAATAGTATTTGAAAACAAAACAATTCAGAAGAACACGTATGCTTAGTTACCAAACCGGAATAGAAATATCTGGGAAATTTTAAGCCTAGAACACTAAGTTCTTTAACCTTACAATAAAAAATTACACTTCATATAAGAGGATAAGCTCTCCAAGAATTCATTGGCAGCAACAGATTGTGGTGATGGATGTAAATACAGGTATGAAGATTGGAGTCATAAATACAGGCACCATCAAAAGGGGTGATTTTGGCCACTGGGGGTGACTTTGGCCACCACTACAACAGAAACAACAGGCCACTACAACAGACAGCAAAACAAAATAATAAAAGTTGGCCAAAGTCACCCCACTTGACAGTATGAAGATAGGAGTCATAAATACAGGTATGAGGATTGGAGTTCTAAAAAGATTCAGCAATGCATTCAAGAGATCACTTCACTGGTTCATTTGTAGGTTCCATACAAGTTCATTGTCTCTCCTGTACTACCTAAAATATTAACCAATGTGTAAATATCTTGCATTTATTGCATAATTTCCCAAAATTATTAATAAATTATTTTTCAGCCTTCTAAGCATTCATGTATCAATATGAAATTAGATTTATTTATAGCTATTTAATGTATACTGTATATGCATTGAAATCTCAAGCCTGAGCATGAATTTGTATTTTGCATGATAAATTTCACAATTTAATAATTATTTGAAAGACTTATTAATTATCTGATGGTTCCGATTCAAGTTATAATCTGAAAACCTGGGCCCATACTTTCAAAACTCGCTATGTGAACGTAAGTACTTACGCTCTATTTCTTGTCTATGATTAAGTGAACGTAAGTACTTACGCACTATTTTCTTGTCTATGATTAAGTGAACGTAAGTTCTTACGCTCTATTTTCTTGTCTATGATTAAGTGAACGTAAGTACTTACGCACTATTTTCTTGTCTATGATTGGTGGATTTTGCTTGAAAGGCCGTCAATGATTGGCTGATAAACTTACGATCTCTTAACTTTTTTTGAAAGTATGGGCCCTGTTCTCTAATGATCTGAAGTTCGGCACACATTGTAAATGGAGTAGCAGCTGCCCTGCCCTGAGATCAAGCATCTTAAAATTTTATGATTCAGCTTTTTTTTTACCCCTGAAATAATGCATCATTGAATGCAATTGGTTGAAATTGTAGCTTGAAAATATGAAGTGCTGACTGGTGGAGGCTATGGGGGGGGGAGGAAAATTGCAGCTGACGATTGAGAGTTGCTGACAAGAAGGTTATGGGTGGTGAAAATTGCAGCTGACGATTGAGAGTTGCTGACAAGAAGGTTATGGGTGGTGAAAATTGCCACTGACATTTGAGAGTTGCTGACAAGAAGGTTATGGGTGGTGAAAATTGCAGCTGACAATTGAGGGTTGCTGACTAGAGAAGGTTATGGGGAGGAATTTCAGCTGAAGAATGAAAGGTGCTGACCAGGATGGAATTCTAGAAATGATGGTTCATATATTAATTCTGATCCATCCTAGCCAGCTTCCAGCTTCTCACTTTACAAAAATATTTGAGGTAAAAAAATAACTCTTCAAGAAAGTATGTGCACAAACAGTGCACAAACCACAACAAAACTACCAAAATGGTGGACAGGCATTTTCTGATCAAGAATGCAGGATGCATTTGATTTTAAAAGTCATGCTCAAGTGGCAGATTAATCTGAGCAGCTTGTGTTAGGAAATGAAAAAATATTTAGTTATAACTATGCCATTTTTTTCTAGAATTTTTTTGTTCATTTGCTCAGCTGTGATTCTCAAAGGGTACCACTTTGTGCTAAAAAAAAACACTTTGCTAGCACATTATTATGTAAATGAAAGATAAAATAAAATAAAGCTAACAGTTCTTTGAGAATGCTCTCAAAATTTCATATCTCTGCAGCTAGTCACACAGTCTAGCTAGTCACATATCTAGAAATTGCAAAAAGGCAACTTTTGAGTCCAACACCCATGCCATATGTGGATGGCAATGGCAGTACCATAGTTCATATTCAGTCATATTCAGTAATTTAATGATGTGAGAGTGTCTTTCCATTTGGGTTCATATTTCAAGGATTAGGAGTTAATTGCATATAATTGACTGACCAGGACAATTTTACTGTTACAAAAACATTTTTACATGGACTTGTTTACTTGCACCTCCCCGTTACCTATTGCTCTACTAACTATTGAAATTTGTCAAGTGCTTGTGAGCCTAGGCCAGGGATGGCAGCCAGTGATGTGGTATTAGGTACTAGTCATGATGTGGTACTAGTAGTACAGGTATTATGAATTAAATATTATTTATCATTTAGTATTATCATCATTCATAGTTATCATCAACATATCATTTTCATTTATTGTCATTTAATGATTTATTATTATCAGTTACTAATCATTTACCTACCTAAAATATGTTTATCTTTCACCCATCACTCAACCATCACTTACCTATCATTTATTCATCTTTTCTCTATCATATATTGAATGCATCAACAAACCCACCAGCATCATGCATTTATTATTCATTTATCATTAATTGATCATTTATAGACCAGTCAGAAATCATCCATATATCATGCATTGTTCATTCATAGATCATTTATTGATCATTCATAGATCATTCATTGATCAATGAATCAATGAATGCTATCAATGAATGCTATCATCATTTATTTATCATTTATTTACCATTCATTCATCATTTATTTACCATTCATTCATCATTTACCATTCAATCATAATTCATTCATTATTTGAATATCATTTATTCATCAAGCGAATTTATTCTGTTCAATTCTGCTTTTTGGTTAATTTATACTATTCATACCTGTTGGTCATACCCATCCCTCCCACCCACCTGCAGTCAAAGCCTCAACTAAAATGTTTTATTTTAGTTAGAATAGATAGCCTACAACAAGAGTTATGGTGCTAATATCATTGAAATTGGTTCTTAGGAAAGCTAAAAATGATACTTTAAAAAAAGTGCTGAAAATACGTTATTTTTTTCAGACTTGATTGAAGAAAGGAAAATATTTGTGGCATTTTCACTTCTATTTGCATTCCACTTAAATTTATATGGTATTTCCTATATTTTCTACATTTTTTCTCTTCTTAGATGTATAATTTTCATTATGATCAAAGATAAACAAATATTTGAGCATTCATTAGCTTACTAATATAAAAAAAAACATTGTAAAAGGCATCACAATTCACAAGTCACCACAATTTTTAAAATATTGTTTAAAGTTCCACATTTCAATTTCACTTTAATCTAGTTACAGCCTAACTAGTAGTTTAAAAATTAAATTTGACATTGCTCTCACAGTGAGTGGGACAGTTTGTCAAGTTGATCTTACAAGTTGTGAACAAGATGCAAGGTAACAATCATAACATCAAAACTAACATTTTCATCAGGTGGATGATTACCCATTCATTGGGTAAGATATTCAAAACAAAGTTGGTATAATTAGAATTTAGAAACTTTTTTGTGCATTTTTAAATCACTTTTTTTAGCTTGAAACTTGAAAGTAACATTCATTGTGTAAATTGCTTGGTAGAAAGTGAACTATCACTATGTACACTTATTTGCATCTAATTTGATTGCTCGGACCAAGATCTTCATTGGAACTAGCTAGCGCCAACAGGATCACGCACCATGCCATATTTCACGTAATATGCGCACATTCTTTCTTTGAAGAAAGTGGACTGGAGATTTTTTACTGGCCTGAAAATTCTCAGACATCAATCCCATTGAAAACTTAGGGGCTATAATCAAACAAAGACTCCTGAAAGCAGAAAGAAGACTGTTCAACAATGGCAAAGCTAATTTGTGCTGTAATTAGGACCTGGTAATGCTGGTAATTGGTATCAATCGTATCATGATGAGCAAGTAACTAAAAATCTAAAATGTGTTCAACTTTGGTCAAATACATGCCAAATTGTGTTCAAATGCTTGTACGTAAAAGCAAAAGTAGGTCTAGGGTGCAGAAGGTGAAAGCAGCGTTGCCAATATATGGGTTTTTAAGCCCAAAGCGTTGCCGACCATTTTCAAGATGCGTCGCCGGGTAATTTTTAATGAAAAGCCAATTATGCTGAGTGATGAAAAACTATTTACAAGCCATGAACTTATTTACAAGGTTGCATGCACGTGTTACCCCAAATAACTAATTTTGCCCTAAAAACAGTCCAATTGTACAGCAAGTGTCAACTGAACATGTGATAATGCAGTCTGACCGCTCTAATGTGACCGCAACTATGCAATCGAAAAAACGTTTACATTTTTTAGCGGGAACTCATTGCAACTGACTTCTGGACAAGCTTCGCTGCATCCTGATCCATCCAACATACCGGACACCTTACTTTTTTCTAAATAGTTGGCCGAAGACTGACAATATATTAAATACAAGAATTTCAATCTAAATGTGTTGGCAAGATCTTCTGAAGGTGAAAATTTTGCTACTGAAGCGTCGCCAAAGATCTTGCAATATTCATCCACTCTCTGCACAGTGGAAGTAGGTCATATCTCCTATTAATTATATCATATTTTATACCATTGGCACATTTGTTAAATAAAATTTCATTGTGACAATCTGACAAATAATTGTGTTATTGCAATGCAACCACTGTCCAAACCAGGCATGGAATATATCTACTGGCGAGCCGCAACTGAATTTTTTGAGCCTTGGTTTTATGGATTTGCCAGCTGTGATTCCATTTTACCCAGCCATGAATTCCATATCTTGGCCATGAAAAGCCATTTACGAGGCGCAAATTTATTTACAAAGTCCATGCACGTGCCACACTCAGGAAGATGTATATAAACAGGGAAATTTCTCACGCAAATCAATCTAATTACATTTTCTTCGATCAGGCGTTGGCGCAAATCACGGTCATCAATTTCACGCCGCACAGCACTCGGCGCGGGCCACAAAGCCATCCGACACAGTTCTGATTTAGACAAGACACAGTTTTCATCTGAATGGAATGGCAACATCGTCTGTAGATTTCAAGTAACGCTGAACCAGCGTTGCCAGATGGTATATTTCTATACCAGATTTCACAAATCTGGTATTTTCAAAAGGTGTCTGGTATGAATATTTTAGATCTGGTATATATGCCTAAATCTGTTATTTTTCTGGTATTTTCTGACTTACTGCAAATTTACTGCATTAAGTTCCACCTCTGAAGTTTGAACTTCCTCCAGAGTCCAGCGTAGGCGTGGATTATATTATTATCTATATAGATTGCCTTCAGAGCCGCGCGATTAGAGCTTTCCCGCCATTTTTGGAACTGCAAGTTTACCGCTTGATGATTTACCCCAATCTAATTGTTAACATTTAACAAAAGTTCTTGCTATTTAATTTAACATGCAAACGGATGTCATGTCAACCAGAACTCGAACACCACAGCAGAGAGTATTTTATGCAGCTAATGAATTTTGCAAACTTTGCTGGAAGAGAGATTATTGAATTTTAGAAAAAATGCAGGATAATTCAATGAAGGGTGGTGGCAGAACTGCAATCTTGATACTCTATTGCGATTCGTGCTATGATAACCTACGTAACAATTTTCATATGATAGTTATCATTTTTGCACATTCAAAGTACACATGACATAACATAACGCACCCAGATTTGGAAACCATAATTGCTCAAATGAAGCAAAAATAAACAACAGACCATTGACTTATCTTGCAAATATATACCGGTACCTGCCGTAGGCTGCCCGCTGCCTAACAGGCTAACCCTATGATCCTATCAACTTCAAACTTAAACTTGTATCATGAAATGAGGCTAATGAGCATTTCTAATCTTATTCAATACATTGTCTAACTATAGATAAAATACCTCAATAGGAATGAACACAGCTTTTAAAGGCATATAGGGTGTGATGCAGTGATGGTAACTTTGAAGATTTCACAATTTAAATTTATTATAACAAATAAATCAACTATTACCGGACCTCCCGCAACTCGACAGCACAAACATTCTTCTTCTTCTTTAGTCAAAATTTGGAAGGAGCTCTGGAGACTTGTCCAAGGTAGCCCCTCGACCAGACATTGGTATTAGATTAGACGTCAGGGATAAGACACTGTAAAAAGCGGACTGGTTAGGAGATTGCTGCTATTAGGTAAGATAACATATGTGACTATTTGCATGAGAAGAGTTAAAAATTATTCATTCATAAAAAAAATCAAAAAAAATTATTCATTCATTATTCATATTCATAATTCATTCCGGATTAGTATCTACGGACATGCCCTCATTGCCCTGCACTATGCCTCACATGAGATTGCGGAATCTATCAAAGGTCCAGCCTGGGCAGCAGTAGCACAGCCTGGAGCTTCTTCTGACCAAGTTGGTCTAAGAATATGCCAATATGGGACTGTGGTCTGTGAGTTGCTAGCTCACAAACAAACAAAACTCACGTGGGCTGTCTCTGAAGGATCAAAGATTAAGGATGGATTTAAGGTGAGCAGCAACAAACTCTACAAAGAGCAGTCACGACCGGCGATACACAGAAGTCCTAAAACCTGTTCCTAAAAAGACTGCAGAGAGTGTTTCTGCTCCCCTCAAATTAGGCACTCAGATCATTGCCAGCAGTAAGTACCTAAATGTGTATGATTCGAGTGTTAGTTACCCACAAGTTTTAGTTAGTTAAATCGGGACTAAGAGAGCTAACGCATTTCTCAGAGCAAATGAAGGGTGTTAGTAGCTGTTAAAAATGTAGCATTGTAGCTACTGCATCAACTATTAAGTACTGGATACGGCTAGGATAGGTGCCCCCGCGGCCCCGCCTGCCGCCAAGCAAGTTCTGCAGTGTGACGGCTGTTCATCACGTTATTCACGTACACGTCTGTTCATCACGTACACGTCTGTTCAACTGACGGGGACATTGAGCCGAGCTAGAGTATTGGTTAAATTGGCTCGCACAGCCACAGGGGCATGCTGAGGGAAGTGAAGCAGCAAATGTTCTATGGTTTTAGGAGAACCGCAGGTGCAGAGTGGACTGTCACACATCTTGAAGCGGGCTAAATGGGCCCTAACACCAGCATGACCCGTGCGTAGCCTTGCCAAGGCAGTCTCTATTGAACGTTTATTATTATGAGCCCAAGGCCAGTACCTTACTTCATGTTTTATGGTTGCAGCACAAACATTGAAATGGATGCGCTTTGAGTGCGGTTCCGCACATCTACGTTCTTTCCAAGCATTCTAAATTCATGGTTGCCATGTTCTAAATTGGTCTTACAGATTCATATAAAATTCAATATTGCTAATACGGAGTAATATTCATATTGCATATTCATACTTTGACGGGTTCTGATACTTTATTAATTATTTTTCCGAATTAAAGGCGGCAAAATTAAAATAAAATTATTGAGAACAGCTATTGCAATAATTATATAACAAATTAGTATTTTAGAAATAAAATTTTCGAGCGTGAGCAGTATCTCCCAATTTGTTATACATGAACATTGAAGTATATACATAAAGTGAACAACAGTTTGGTAAGTAATATGACAAGCGCAGATGATCGCTCATTTCATAAAACTTATTAATTCCGCTTAGACATTTGTGGAACGAATTTTTGAAGAGAGATTTGTGACTAATTTTTATAGCAGGTTTTCCAAGCATAAATTGTCAATCAAAAATTCATTTTGACTAAATTTAAAACGAAGCTTTTTAGTCTGAAGGGCTTCGGAGGAATTGTGGCTAACGAGGGAATTGGGGGTTTTACTGAAATCCAGTTAAGTAGGATAATAAGGGTTGTATTGGGTAATAAAGGATTGAAGAGATATTCAGGGTAATTTATTAGCGCCATTAGGTCTTAAGGACAGCGTTTTAGCGCGGCGTCTTTTAGGGACAGCGTCTTGGGGGCGTCATTAGGTCTCAAGGACAGTGAGGTCATTAGGTCTTAAGGACTGGCACTAGGTCTTAAGGACAGTGGCACTAGGTCTTAAGGATAGTGGCATTAGGTCTTAAGGTCAGTGGCGTCATTAGGTTGTAGGGACATCCAATGTTAATCTTAGTTTTAAGTAGTTAAATCTTCAAATTTTCTAATAAAATCAATCCTTTCGTAAACATCCGAACTACTTCTAAATTGACTTTTTCTTTCTTGTTGGGCCACTTGCACTACGGCTTGCAGGTTTTTGCCAGGTCACCGTAGTAGATGTGAGCGCGGCAGACACGGGTGCGCTGGCCGGCTCTAAAAGCACGCACTGGCAGAGGGACGTCCTTGGATTCCATGCGACAGGGAAGTAGCCGAAGGTGTACGTGTTTTGTTTGGGCTGCGCCTAACTACACTATCGGAAATGGCAAAACATCTTTCTTGGGCAAACGGCATGAGATTGTTAGCGATGCTACCGAGTTGAGTCATATCTAAATCGGACTGAGCTCTTAAGGCAGCTGATATGGGGGAAGGTAACGATTGTAAAAACTTGTGCCTGACTAACTCATCCCCTACTCCTACTTTTGATGCGATAGTGCAAAGTTCCTGCAAGTAAGTCGAGGGACGCCCAGAAAAAGATTTGGAAGAGATCAGCTTCTCAAACAATTCTGGTTTAGATTGTTTGTTGGTCATTAAGTCTTAAGGACAGTGGGGTCAATAGGTCTTAAGGACAGTGGCGTCATTAGGTCTTTATGACAGTGGGGTCATTAGGTCTTAAGGATAGTGGTGTCAATAGGTCTTAAGGACA